TTTCACTATCGTTTCAATAAGTGACGCTATCATGTTTACTCCACAGTTGCGACTGGAGCTAAACTGTGTAATCATGCTAATAGCTCTCCAACCAGTCGTAACAGTAGTTACGAATCGAATTACTATCAGCTATTTCATGTTACACTCGATCTCGAAATTTGATTGGATATATTCACGTGATCAATTGAATTACACAAAAAAAAAATTTTAAAATATCGTTCTGAATCTATTCAATCATTATATACCAGTTTACAAACCTCTAAACGCACCAATGCCTCGTCATCAGACTCAACAATTCAAAAATAAACTTGCAAATACTACTAATACTTTTCCATATCCAAAATCCAAACCCAATAAAAAATCAAACTCATTAATGAACAAACAAAAAAAGCCAACAGTAAAAAGCAAAAATTTATATAAATATAAGAATGAGACATTACTTAAAGAACTTGACGGATTAGTTGAAGATATTTTATTACCTTTTCAAGATAGTGAAGCCTCAAAAAAAAACATATATAATAAAAATTTAAACATTGCATATTCTGAAAATGATAACTCTGAATTCGATTTATTGACACATAGATTCGAGAATGAGATTGAGAATTCGGAAAATCAAGAACAAGGATTGAATAAGCAGCAATTCTTTAATAACCCAGAAGAAGTACTGGATAGAGATTATGATAGTACTATAAATCAATTATTGAAATTTAGTGTAAAGGAATGAAAGGATAATAGTTCAGTTAAAGCTGATTTGTATATTGTAGTTGTAATGTTAATCGAAGAATTTTTGAAACCTGGTTTATCATCTGTGATAATTTAAAATATTCTAGATGCGATTTTTTTTTATATAATCAAATAAAAATTCAAATTAACGACTCTTGTCAGCGATGCATTATAAATATTAGTGCTATATTATCTAATATAGCATATTTTATTAACTCTAAAATATTTACAAAAAAAATCAAATTTTTTTAAAAAAACGATTCATTTGGGTAAAAATTTTATTTATGTCTAAGAACCTGTGTAAACCTCACACACATGTTTTCATCTATTTCACAATCACTTTAAAAAAATACCCTTTTTAATTTCCAAACAAAAACAAATAGCCAAAAAAATTAATTATTATCCAAGAGGCAAGAATTGTTCTTCCATACCCTTCACATTCAGGCAAATTTCTCCACCAGATTCTTACAAGTCCGGAAGAGCCAGAAGCACCCGGTGTCACAGTTTCTCTTGCTGGTAAATTATGATCATTTGTTGGTGATGCAAGCCCGCTCGAAGCATGGTACCTGGTAATAACACGTATTTGAGTTATCTGACTTGATTCAATGTCATGAACTACATCATTTTCCTTAACTTTTGGCGTTGATGATTTGGTTATTGTAGTTGGTTCGTATGATGTAGATGTTGGCAATGACATTGAGTTAGTCTCAGTGATATGGGAATTTGTTGGTGTTATAGTTTGCAGAGATGAATTCGGCACAGCCTTTTGAGTTTGAGTACCATTTAATGCGAAGATGCATGAGGAGAAATAGAATAAAGTAAATAATTTGAGTTTGAAAAAAGATTTTAAGAAATGCATATTTTTTTTTTTTTGAAATATCGTGTAAAGAATACGTATATGTATTGTATGTGCATTCTGTAAAATATTAATCGCTTCGTTTTATATACTTTTTCATCAGTAACAGAAAATTATTAATATTTTTATTATTTTATTATATCTATATTTTTTAATTGAATAAATCATTTATAATTAATTCGTCTAGATTCATTAATTTTATCAAAGGGATTCTTTTGTTTGTTTGTTTTTTTTTGAAATTATTTTATTAAAATCTTCTTCATATCATGCTTATTCGTGATTGATACAGTAATTAAAGTAATCAAATATGATTTGATTTGAAATCGGTCGCTGTACATCAATCTTTTGAAAAGACGAACATCTCTGTTAATGAAACATTTCATATCATATGTTGCTTATTTTTTATTCATTTTTACACTATAAACCTTTTAAGCTATCTTATTTTGAAGGTAGCATGCCACCGTAAACAAATTTGAAATTTGTTTGGAGAGTATTAATTTCTGAATTTTGAGATTTTAGTTTACAGTTTAATCTGAATATTTGCTCTTTATAGCAAATGCAACGGAAAACCAGCTCTGTCAATGCTATTCATCTCTAAAAAAAACACACACACATTCTGGTTTGTGATATTATCGGTAATCTAACAATATTAAAAATCATATATTTTAACTTTTTTATATAAATAATAAACTAATTAATTATTTTCATATGTACTTTATTCATATAGGATTAAAATTTCAAATTTATATGCTTACGATAAGTTAATCTAAGATAATTTTATATTAATATTTTATTATGTGTTCAGTATAATGCTAACACAAAATTTTATATTTGTACGTGTAGATAAATATAATCAATTTATAGAAGGAAATAAGATAAATAAGGTATTCAATACGTATAAAATTAATTAATTTATAAGTTAAAATAAGCTATATAACATCTATTAGTTATGTTATTAGATGAATTATTTTACGTAATGCCAAAAGACGAAGCACAGAACAAGATCAAGTCGAAAGATGAAATCATAGCGAAGATATGTATTTTATTTATATTATTTCTTAAGCTTTTTTGAATTTAACTGCTTAAGGT